CTTACTTCCTTGGAAACAAGATTTATTTCTTGTTTTCCAGAGATTCCGAAAAATGGCAGCAGCACCCGACCATAACCCCCTTCCGATCCTACCATAAAGAAGACTTAAATCAGGAATCGCTCAAAGCAGAGGAGCAAGCAAGGCTTTGTGCTGATCCCAACCCTAAGGGAACACCAGCAAGCTTGTGTGCATCACTCAATGTAGAGGGCGAGGGATGTCCTCTCTTTTCGAAAAAAAAGGAACACCAGCAACATTCCAGACACAATTAGCTAGACAGCAGAAGAACAGGTGTTCCAGAATTTGCTTTGGCCAGAATTCTATTCCTGATCACTAGCCATAGTGGAGCTTAGTACGAACTAGAGAGGCCATCAGGCCAAGCTAAATTAACTGCATAGGATATGAACCATCTGAAACTTGAATGGCAAGAAATATAATGGGCAGGTCAAAACAACTCGCAAGAAGCAGACTTGTTCTTGATACTAGTACACAAGAGAGCACGTTAAACACATGTCGCACGGACGGTAGCTATATCCACACCATATCTGGAGATCCTTGCACTGTTGCACAGTTGGGACAGGCCTGAAATTAGCAGATTTACATTAATCAATTCTCAGCATAAATTGGCGAACAAGGCTCTATGAATCATGTGTCTTAATCTTTATTCTAGTAATGCTTGCATGATGAAATTTTTTCTCTTCTGTAATTAATAAGCAGGGTCCCATGATAAATTTTCATATGGCAACATCAAAAGCTTTCTTCGAAGTTCATAGTCCTTGTGATTAATCAAGAAAGTTGTCATTATAGAAGAGAATACTTTGTATAGTTTGAAGAAATTTCACCTTAATCCCAGTATTGCTTTGCAAAGTTAATCAACAGAAATTTTCATAGTTCGAAGTTCATAGGTCTTGAAACGAGTTTTTTTTAGAAAAGGAGGATGACCCCCGGCCTCTGCATCTGGGAGATGCATACGGCCACTTTATTGATTATTCTCGAGGACCTTACAAAGTATTACAACAATGTGCCTGAATCCACCATCTTGGCAACACATGCCGCTACTCCTATCCAAAATGATGAAGGGGTGCTAGCTGGGCCACTACCCAAACCACTCACCTAAGCCTAACAATCAAAAGCCAGACGCCGAAACATATTCGGAAGCCCCAGCCGAGCCACATACTGGGTCTGGAACACAATCCGGTCAGACACACTCGTGTGTCGTCGCCGCCATCTTTCACATGTCTGTCTTCAGGTCATATTGAGGCTTCTACCTTGTCTGCCCACTCAGTCATCAACGTCACCATGACGCCAGACAGCAACCTCCTCCTGCACGAGTCCATCTCCGCGCATCAAACGCCGAGTCTCAACCGCACCACGTCGCCGAGATCCGCCACCATGAATGTGAAAGATGAAGCACCGCTCCACCAAAGTCGCCGTCCTCCTCGAGCCCGTGTGCACCTCCAAAAATGACGCCCCCATGGGGGAAAAGGACACCAGAGAGCCGCCGTCATCCGATCTACTGATCTAGGGTTTCGCCCGGAGGTAGCAGAGAGTGGCCTTGAACTTCTTCACGGCGATGCCTTCAGGAAGGGAACGACGCAGACAGCGTCGCCATCGTCGGCCTTGGCAGTAGCCAATAGCAGGTTTTCACCCAGATCTGATCAAAGACCTCTATCTCTCGTGCACGGGTCGCCGGCGTCCTTGCCAGGATCTGAATGATCCCACTTGCCGTTTCTCTGGATTTTTTTAACCTTAAACGTTGGGAGAGGCGCCCTCTGCCGGCCTGAACTCCACGAGCTTCCTGACATCCAGCCACAGCTGCTCCAGCACCTTGGCTTCATACAGCTTCTTTGCCCCGCCTTCATCGACCTGGATTGTGATGTAGTAGAGCCTGCCAGCAACAGCTTGCTCCTTGACCCTCACCACTTTCTCCAACTCCAGCGGAGTATTCTGCATCAGTGAATTCAGATTAGACCAATGCAAATACTACGTTCCTATACTGCTTTGTCGAACACGGGAATGCAGATTCAACAAGGGAAGGGGGGAGCGGTGGTGGGCCGAGGGCTTACGGCCTCCTTGTTGTGCTCGGAGACGGCGAAGCGGGCGAGGCCAACGATGTAGAGATCGTTCTCTCGCCCCGGCGACTCCACGATGCCTCCCGCCAGCCGCCGCGCGGGTTCCGCCGCCATGGCAGCCGTCGCTCGCGCGCTCTGCTTCTGGGACTGGGTCTGAGTAGACGGCAGGACGAGGGCGAGTAGCAGGAGCAGGAGCAGGGCAGGGGCAGCCACCGATCCTAGACCTCGGTGGTGTTTCCGCATCTCCGTCGATCGGGGTCGGCCGCAGCGGCGGAGGAGGAGGGGAGAAGATGGCTGGATTTTGGGGCGGCGGAAGGCGGACGGCTTGGCTGGAAATATAGAGTGGCTGTGGAGGTGCTCGATTTGGGCGGAGTGGCGGTGGAGGCTGCCGATCCGGGAAGGGAATTAATACCATCTCCGATAGCTGCCTTATTTTAAGGCAGGAAAAATGGATGTTATAAATTTTTTCACACCAAAAGTGTCTTTGGCAAGAGTAAGGCGCTGCTTCTGCTACACGAGTTGCTGCTCCGGCTGCTAGTGTTTTCAGCTCAAAGACGGTGGACAATGCCGATCCGGAGAAAAGAATTCTACGAGACCAGGTCTCATGTGAGATCCATCCTAATAAATGACACGTGACATTCACAAATCATAAAGCATCTATCCCATTCATTAACCGTGAAATCCGGTTTCATATAATTTTTTTCCATCTCCAATTGCTGTCTTATTTTAGTGGGAAAATTGGGTGTTAAGGAAGCGTTTATGTAAGGTCGACCGGTTCTGATTTTTCGGCGGTGGGTGGCTTGGCTGGAGTGGCGGTGGACGGTGCCGATCCGGGAAGGAGTGGAGGCCGGCGGTACTGAGAAAACGCTCGAGAGAGGGGAGGAGAATGCCCAACGCGGGCGTATCACAACCGTAAGTCGAGATTGGAAGTAAGCTGTAGAGTACTACTGTACATGAGAGTAGGTCCGAACAAGTGCAGGCCAGCTAATAACACGGTCAGGTTCATTACTTAATCTGACCTGAGCTGTTGCCGTTCGTCAGTAGTGAGATACTACTCCGTGTAGACTGTAGTGTCAGAAACGCTCTTATATTATGGGACGGAGAGTAGTTCAGGGTGTGTTTTTACTTGTTATAGACACGATGCCTCTTGCTGCTTTGTAAATAGTTAAGCACCTATGTATGTATGATGTGTTTAGAGATTGCTGAGACGTCTCCCAATTTCATTTCTGGAACTGCACACTGCGTACATCATGCTACACCAACAAACAGTAGTAACACACACACACACACACACACACACACACACACACACACACACACCAAACTGCATCAACTAAGTTCCAGCTGCAGGTAAACGTACAGATTCAGCAGCGTTGCGTTCTATATTCAGAAGGCAACATACAGAACAGCAAGACAACATACAGTACAGAACAGCACCTGCATCGCCAGCCTCCTTGACACAGGATTCCCGTCCAGCCATGCCGTTGCCCGAAGATCTCCCTTGCTGCCCGCGCCATCATGTCACCCACGATCGCAGAAGCCTTTGCAGCGCGCTTTTCTAGAGGTTCGACCGGCTGTAGAGAAAACGACATAAAAGTAAGGTCACATTTGTAGAGTCAGCAAGCTTGATTCCTTGGAAACAAAAAAGATTTGTTTCTTCTCCAGAGAGCCAAAACAATGGCAGCAGCACTGATCATAATCAACTTCCGATCTCTACCAGAAAAAAAAGAGACGTAAACCAGGTATTTCACAAATTAGAGAAGCTACTAGGCTTTGTGCTTATCCCTAAGGAAACATTCCAGACATATATTTAGCTAGAGGGCAGAGGAAGAACAAGTGTTCCATCACCACAAAATTCACACAGGTCAGACTCCTTCCATCCCCTTTTCTGAAGATTTGCTTTGTTCAGAGTTGTATTTCTGATCACTAGCCAACACAACACTTTCGTTCTCAAGGGTAGCTTGAGAGTCCACACCATTATGCATGGAAAGCTACTCTTCTAGCCACAGGATACTGATAGTAGCAAGATTCAACAACAAACTCACCAGGTTTTGTCAACGAGCATTTCACACGGTCAGGTTCAATAATTAACCTGACCTGGGCACAAATGTCCTCCAGGTTTTGCCACATAGCCATAGTTTCTTCCCTAAGAAACCTTCTGGATTTTAAGCTATCAATACCCCAAACAAAATATTTGGACCTTGAATTTTACCACTTTACCTTTCATTGCTCTGATATCCTTGTTCAAGTAAGTCGAGTCCCTGGTTCATGTCGTCCTCCCCCGAAACGCTACGAGGAAGTGCACCATCAAAAACAGTACAGATGCGTAGCTTAATAAGAACTAGATAGGCCATCAGGCCAAGCTAAATTAACTGCATTGGATATATATGAACCATCTGAAACTCGAATGGCAAGATGTACACAATGGGCAGGTTCAAAAGAACTCGCAAGAAGCAGATTTGTTCTTGATATTACACAAGAGAGCAGCTAAGACATGTCCCACAGACGATAGCTATATCCACACCATATCTGCATATCCTTGCACAGCTGGGACCGACCCGCCTGAAATCAGCAGATTCAGAGTAATCAATTCTCTACAAACAAAATGCTGAACAAGGTTCGGTACATCACGCGTCTTAATTTTTTTTTTGAGGGAATGACAGTGATCTGCCCATATATTAAGGAGAGCAACACATTACAATACAAGGTTTTTGGTTACGTATAAGTCTGTGAGACGTGTCTTAATATCTATTCTAGTAATGCATGCATGATGAACAATTCTCTTTTATAACACCGCAATCTTTTTTTCAAAACAGTTGATAGTCCTTATGATTAATCAAGAAACTTATTAACATGGTTATTTATTGATTACAGCCAGCATGATTCAACCAGGGCAAAAAAGCAGGCATGATATGCTCCTTGACTGATACCTTAAGCGCTCGCAGAGGCGCGCTCTGCCGGCCTGAACTCCATGAGCTTCTTGAAATCCATCCATGGCCGCTCCCACACCTTGGCTTCATACATCTTCTTTGCCCCGCCCTCATTGACCTGAATTGCAATATAATACATCATGCCTGCAACAACTTGCTGCTTCAGCCTCACCACTTGCTCAAACTCCAGCAGAGCGTTCTGCAACCAAAATTATTAGTCACGCGGAAAAGTACTCGATAATTGTTAAGAGCCCAGGATTGAAATCAAATCGCACATGCTACTCATAGTAGTATTGTTTAAAGCACTCGAATTTCGCATAGATCGATGTATAGATACTTCCTACACAAGGAAGGACCTGCGTGCGTCGATCAGAAACATCCAGATTCAACAAGGGAAGGGAAGAGGGAGGGGTGGTGGGTGGAGGGCTTACGGTCTTGTTCTTGTGCTCGGAGACGGCGAAGCGGGCGAGGCCGATGATGCGGAGGTCGTTCTCTGCCCCCGGCGAGTCCACGATGCCTCCGTCCAACCGCCGCTCGTCGGCAGCCTTCTCTCGTGCGCTCTGCATCTGGGTCTGAATAAACGGTAGGACGAGGGTGAGGAGCAGGAGCAAGAGCAGGGCAGGGGCGGCCACCGATCCTAGGACTCGTTGGTATTTCCGCATCTCCCTCGGTCGGGGTCGGCCGCAGCGGCGGAGGAGGGGACAAGGTGGCTCGATTTTGCGGCGGTGGATGGCGGCTGGAGCGGCGGTGGACGCTGCCAATCCGGGAATGGAATTAAAGAGTGTGGAAGACCACGTCGGTTGCAGTTTCAGGGATGTACATATTTATATTTTTGTGCCTCAAATTTACAAGAAGTCAACATATGACCCCTCGTCTTTTCTTTATCGACCTTCATGTTTTAAAACTGGACATGTTTCATACTCCCTCCGTTTTGAATTAATCTAGATGTATTTTAGTTCTAAATAATTTTTTTTTGAAAGTACATCAATAACGTATCATATTTTTATAAAAGACATTTTTTGAGATACATTTATTTCTACGACGCGTAACTTAGAACAGAAGGAGCACAAAACTAGAAACAAAAGCAGTATTTTTCTATAAATAACTACGTGTATATTGCAAAAAGCATACAGAGCACGTAAAAAGTTCATTGAAAGGACACATGAACACATGTGTCACGTACAATTGCACACAAGGCCTCAAAAGAAACAATGTAAAAACTCAGTCCTAAAAGATCCATCCATGAGTCATCTTCGCTCGTTGCCGACCACCGTGGTTGCTCAAGCACCGTCAAATACAAGAAGAAGAAAAAACAGCTCCACAAACCAGATCCGGCGAAGCAACATAGCTGAATCAGCGTTGTGAAACTATTAAACAGGCCGCCGAAGAACATCAAGGCCAAGCCTCTGTAGCACGTTGGTCCGGGAATATCCTCATGCTTGTTGGATTGCAGATCCGCCGACTCCACTCGATGCTGTCGAGGGAGGGTGAGGGAGTCCTAGATTAGAAGGTATTCGGACAATCGGATTATATCTTTTGGCCGGACTGTTGGACTATGAAAATACAAGATTGAAGACTTCGTCCCGCGTCCGGATGGTACTCTTCTTGGCGTGAAAGGCAAGCTTGGCAATACGGATATGTAGATCTCTTTCCTTGTAATCGACTCTGTGTAACCCTAGCCCCATCCGTTGTCTATATAAACTGGAGAATTTTAGTCCGTAGGACAACATACAATCATACCATAGGCTAGCTTTTAAAGTTTAGCCTCTTCGATCTCGTGGTAGATCAACTCTTGTACTACTCATATTATCAAAAACAATCAAGCAGGACGTAGTGTATTACCTCCATCAAGAGGGGGCCCGAATCCTGGGTAAACATCGTCTCCCCTGCCTCCTGTTACCATCCGCCTTAGACGCATAGTTCGAGACCCTCTACCCGAGATCCGCCGGTTTTGACACCGACATTGGTACTTTCATTGAGAATTCCTCTGTGTCGTCATCGTTAGGCTTGATGGCTCTTTCGATCATCGATAGCGATGCAGTCCAGGGTGAGACTTTTCTCCCCAGACAGATCTTTGTATTCGGCGGCTTCGCACTGCGGGCCAACTCGCTTGGCCATCTGAAGCAGATCGAGAGTTACGTCCCTGACCACCAGTTCAGGTTTAGAAGCTTAAACTACACGGCCGACATCCGCGGAGACTTGATCTTTGACGGATTCGAGCCCTTGCCGAGTGCGCCGCACGGTCATGATGAGCATGATTTAGTTCCACCATCGGAAAGTGTTCGGGAAATCGCACCGGCGACCGCTCCGACCCTCAATTCGGAGCCAGTTGCGCCATCCAAGGACGGGTGGATAGACCCCGCCACGGAGGCCGCATCTTCAGCGGCGATCGAGCCAAATACCGACTTTACCCTTCACGGGAGGCGTGACGCCGAACTGCCGGATTCTTCCCCGGCCACGGACTCCGAATCGCCTGCGCCCGTGCCTATCGAATCCGACTGGGTGCCGATCATGGAGTTCACCTCCGCGGATATCTTTCAGCACTCGCCCTTTGGCGACATACAGAACTCATTAAGGTCTCTCTCCTTGTCAGGAGAGTCCTGACCGAACTATGTTCGGCAGGATTGGGATGCGGATGACGAAAAAATTCGCCGCCCACCCACCATCCACTTAGTAGCAACCGTCGACAATTTGACCGACATGCTCGACTTCGACTCCGAAGACATCGACAGTATGGACGACGATGCAGGAGACGAACAAGAACCACTGCCCACAGGGCACTGGACAACCACCTCATCATATGATATATATATATGATGGACACACCCAAAGAAGGCAATGGCGACGGGACAACGGAGGATGACCCATCCAAGAAGCAACCCAAGAGCCAATGTCAGCGGTGCCGCTCTAAGTCTCGCCAAGGAAAAAGCGGTGATACCAGCACAGGAGATAATAGCACTCCGGACAGTGCCGAAGATGACAACAATCCCCTCCAGGAAGATTTAGAGCAGAAGGATGGAGAAACTAGCCCTCCCGAGAGAGCGGCAGATGAAGAGGCGGAGGATGATAATTACACGCCTCCCTTCGAAGATGAGGCAAGCCTCGACGATGACGAATTTGTCGTGCTTGAGGATCCCGTCGAGCAAGAGCGCTTCAAGCGCCGGCTTATAGCCATGGCAAATAGCCTTAAGAAAAAGTAACATCAGCTTCAAACTGATCAAGATTTGCTAGCTGACAGATGGACTGAAGTCCTTGCGACCGAGGAATTTGAACTCAAACGCCCCTCCAAGAGTTATCCAAAGCGCAGGTTGCTACCCCGACTAGAGGAGGAAGCATTAAAACCTACATCTCCAGCGTATGACGCGGCTGATCAGCCACCTCGTGGCCACGACAGAGAGGCATTTCAGCCAAAAGCTCAGTCCGCACCCCAACGCAACTCAAATAAAAATGTCAAGGCACGGGGAAACGCGCTAGACCTGCGAGATGTATTGGAGGATAAAGCAAAACACGCAAGATCAATCTACGGATCACGAGGGCGCGCCACTACGCGAGACGATAACTGTCACACCGGATACAATAAAAGTAAATCTGGCCGGGCCAAACATAGCGGACAAGACTCATTTGAGCTGCGTCGTGATATAGCCCAGTATAGAGGCGCTGCACACCCCCTATGTTTCATAGACGAAGTAATGGATCACCAAATCCCAGAGGGTTTCAAACCCGTAAATATCGAATCATACGACGCCACAACAAATCCTGCGGTATGGATCGAGGACTTCCTCCTGCACATCCACATGGCCCGCGGTGACGATCTACACGCCATCAAATACCTCCCACTCAAACTCAAAGGACCAGCTCGGCATTGGCTCAACAGCCTGCCAGCAGAATCCATTGGCTGTTGGGAAGATCTGGAAGCCGCATTCCTTGACAACTTCCAGGGCACTTATGTGCGACCACCAGATGCCGATGACTTGAGCCACATAATTTAGCAGTCAGAAGAATCAGCCAGGCAATTCTAGACACGGTTCCTGACAAAGAAATATCAAATCGTCGACTGTCCGGATGCAGAGGCCCTAGCAGATTTTAAGCATAATATCCGCGACGAGTGGCTCGCCCGGCACCTTGGCCAGGAAAAACCAAAATCTATGGCAGCCCTCACGACACTCATGACCCGCTTTTGTGCGGGAGATGACAGCTGGCTGGCTCGCAACAATAATATATCAAAGAACCATGGTACTTCAGATACCAAGGATAGTAATGGCAGGTCACGTCGCAACAAACACAAGCGCCGCATCAACAGCGACAATACCGAGGATACGACAGTCAATGCCGGATTCAGAGGCTCTAAACCCGGTCAGCGGAAAAAGCCATTCAAAAGAAGCGCTCCGGGCCCGTCTAGTCTGGACCGTATACTTGATCGTTCGTGTCAAATACACGGCACCCCCCGACAAGCCAGCCAACCACACCAACAGGAAATGTTGGATGTTCAAGTAGGCCAGCAAGTTAAATGCCGAAAACAAAGATAAGGGGCTACATAGCGATGACGAGAAGGAGCCCCGACCGCCGAACACCGGAGGACAGAAGAGGTTCCCTCCACAAGTGCGGACGGTGAACATGATATACGCAACCCACATCCCCAAGAGGGAGCGGAAGCGTGCGCTAAGGGACGTATATGCGTTGGAGTCAGTCGCCCCAAAGTTCAACCCATGGTCCTTCTGTCTGATCACCTTCGATCGCAGGGACCACCCCACTAGTATCCGTCATGGCGGATTCGCCACACTGGTCCTAGACCCAATCATCGAGGGATTTCACCTCACTTGAGTCCTTATGGACGGCGGCAACAGCCTAAACCTGCTTTATCAGGACACAATGAGCAAAATGGATATAGACCCCTCAAGGATCAAACCCACAAAAATGACCTTCAAAGGCGTCATACCAGGTGTAGAGGCCCATTGCACAGGCTCAGACACACTGGAAGTGGTCTTCAGATCCCCAGATAACTTCCGAAGCGAGGAGTTAATCTTTGATATAGTCCCGTTCCGCGGTGGCTATCACGCATTGCTCGGGCGAACCGCATTTGCAAGATTCAACGCGGTACCGCATTATGCATACCTCAAGCTCAAGATGCCAGGACCTCGGGGGGTCATCACAGTCAATGGAAACACAGAGCGCTCTCTCTGCACGGAGGAGCACACTGCGACCCTCGCAGCAGAAGCACAAAGCAGCCTCTTCAGGCAATCCACCAGTTCGGTGATTAAACACCCGGACATCGTCAAGCGCGCCCGGAGTAATCTGCAACAAGACCACCTGGCACGTTCCGAGCTCGCATAGCAATGCGGCCCCACCCCAGTCCCAGCCAAACGACGAAATACGTGCCACGCATACATAATTACGCATTGAAAATACCATGGGCGTAGGTGGGGGGGCACGACTACGGCACGCCCCAAAACGCGGCTCAACCGCACTAGGGGCTTCCCGCTTTGTTATACTTTTCTCTCTTTCATGACTTTACTCTCCGGAAACCCCGTCCGGCAGTACGATTGCTGGACACACGATACAACAACCAAGGAGGCAGAAAGCTACGCCGCACCATGGAACTCCCAGGTGGTATCTGATAACGAGTGAAATACTTGCTTTAAATACCATTCCTCAGCTTGCCCTT